GTTTTGTGTAGCCTAATTTCACAAAGCTAAAGTCAGACCATTCTGCTTTTGCTTCAGGTTTTCAGATTATACAGTCTAATTTAGATCAAAATATAGGCTAATAAAGCAACTAACCATATTCTTCATGCACTCATATTTTCATTCTTTCTTGTCTTTTGCTTAAATAAAATACATAAAAAAGTCAGCATTGGATTCTGATATGAAAAGTTAAGATCAGTGCATCCCTAAATTTTAATGTCAGTTTATTTATTTATTTATTTATTGTGCAACTGTCTTATTTCATATGTATTTTTTTTTATGTCATAAAGCTATGCTTTTTCTGTGTGAATGATCAGTGGTGGAATTGGCTGCGATGCAAGAGGCACCAGCTAAAATCTTGCATAGGGCACCAAATTGGTCAGGGCCGGCCCTGCTTTCAGCACAGCACTAACACTAACTATCAACACTAGAACTAGTCAAGCACTCGTGTAAACACTCACTCACCTGTGAGCAGAAGAGACATGAATGTGATTCTCTCCATTTCTGAGGGAAAAACAGAAATCAGTCTCAAGAAATGATGCAGAACATCAGATCATGTCATTTCTACTTTATCATATTAGATTCTACATCAGCTATAAATACACACATGAAGCACCTAAAGCTGATGTGTGTCATGATTCAGTCTGAAAATACACTGAAAAACCTGTAAAACTTACAGTAAAAGCAGCTGCGTTCACCAGAACTTTTCCATTAAAAAATACAGCAGCAATATTTCAGGTTTTACAGATTCAAGTTAAATTTACAGGAAAAGTAAATATTTCATTAACTGATGTAATGTTAATATACCAACCTGCTGAAGTACTAAAATCTGGTTTTTGCCTTTATAATACACTGACAACCACCTTAAACACAGATAAAGTGATATAGTTAAAAAGAAAAGTACTGTAAAATGACATGATATGTCCTGTTAAATTTATAACAGTTGTTCACTGTATATTAAGGGAACTTACTCTTAACCAAGTAACAGGTATTTACCGTAGGATATTTAGTCTTTTTCCATTAAGAATTATAATAATTTTTTCAGTGTATTGTTTTATGCTGCACATTTCTGCTGTTAAAAGCTCCAGAATCAAACTCACACAGACAGTGAGCTCTGGTGTTGCACTGCTGTTGTAAGTACATTACTGTAAATGCAGTTTTTTAATATTAAGTTTTACTTTTATTTTCTTGTTTTGCTCATGTAATAACTCAAATTAGGACACACTTGTTTTATTGGGAAATTAAGTGTGAGGAAACCTTTATGAAGTTATTATCACCGTCACCTTTGGATCAATCACTGGATATGAAGTTTATTTTTAAGTTGATTTCCTCTATAATGTTTTAAAGAAGCCGTATATAATTAAACTGAAAAAGCTCAGATAGCAACAGACAAAATGTGCAAAATCCAGACATTCACTAGTTAACCAGTGATCAGCTGAGTATAATGTCATATAAACACGACTTAATCAGTCAGATCATAATCAATGTGAAGTTAAACCAACAGTGATTATATTATCTCAGAGTGTCTTACCTGTAGATGTTGTGATTCAGGTGTGATTCAGGTGTGTTTGTGTTTCTTCTTTTATCAGGACAGACTGATATCACGGATCATTCCTCCTCTTCTGCTCCTCCCAGCTTTGCTTTTCCTGGACAGAAAAACTCCCTTCTGTGGTTTAGTTCTTTATTTAGGTATGTTTCCTTTATTGCCCAAAGGTAACAGTGTGTGTGTGTGACAGAGAGAGAGAGAGTGTGTGTGTGTGTGTGTGTGTGTGTGTG